ACTGCACTTAAATTCATGACTAGTGTTTTATCTTGGCATGTTTATATTCTTTATAACATTCAATTTGATACATAAGTTATACAAAAGCCTGGTTGTGTGCATTTGTTCTCAACTTTTGTATTTGAAGTTGTATTGATTAGGAACTGCTGATACAGGCCTCAGACTGAAAGAAGAGGCATTTTGATCAGATGTTAGGAATTGTTAGGAATTGGAGGAAAGATTTAAACTTAAATTATGTCTTTTTGTCTAGCAGAAAAATATTTTTCTGAATTAGAAATGGATAACGCTGCATATAATGCCTATGAAATTTATTGCCCCTTGAATGAATTTAATTTGTGTTTTCTAAAAGTCTTATACTGACATGAAAAAAGTTAATATTTGTCAACATTCATAATTTGTGAGCTGTTCTGTGTTTCAGGGAAATTATTTCTATTTACCGTGTGCTAGTAGCGTCATTCTGTGTTGCCATGAAAAGTAGGTATAGCCGATTTTGAACAAACAAATGTTTTTTCAAGATACGCTACATAAACACAAAAGTTTTTTGTAGTTAAATTGTTTTGTTATCATTCTGGTAAGTTTAATGTAATTCTGTGCTCTTAGTACTTGAAAATTAATTAGCAACTGTGTCAATGTTTTTTAGGTAAATTTCTGTTTATATCCACTGGTTCTACCAAAGCAGAATTACAGATTGCCTTGGGTTGGAAGGGACCTTAAAGGTCATCCAACTCCAACTCTCTACCATGGGCAGGGACACCTTCCACTAGACCAAGCTGCTCAAAGCCCCATCCAACCTGCCCTTGAACACTTCCAGGAATGGGACATCCACAACTTCTCTGGGCAACCTGTACCAGTGTCTCAACACCCTCCCAATAAAGCATTTCTTTCTAATATCTAATCTAAACCTGCCCTCTTTCCATGTAAATCTATCTACCCTTTTTTCACTTGAGTAAAAGAAGAAGAATGCTGCATGTACAGGCTGTATATCATACACTCTTCTAAATTCAGAAAAATCAGAAAACTAATTAGAAAACTCATTCAAAACATTAATGTTGACTTGAATTTAAGAAAATCTAGAAATAGAAATGTTCGGATATGTTTGCAAGAAATTTATTCTTCCCTTTCTAACACTGAATAATAATTATGATTCTGTTAACAGTCTTCATTCTAATGATTGAAAGTTTTATTAAAAAAAAAGAAAAGTTTAAAATATTGCTAGCCCAAAATGTTTTAAATGTATACATGTGGAGTTTCTCTGTGATCTGCAAAAGCCACAGTTTAATCTCAGTATTAGTGCATAAATTCAATTTCACAGCTAACTCCTGGAGGGAAAAAGGGTAGGTTGGAAAAGTAGATTATCATGAATCAGAAAAGACAATTTAAGTGGCTTCACCATGTTGTCTCAAAGACTGTCAGGGTGCATTGAAATGTTGCTGTTATGCAAACAATGACCAACCTCATAAATTGTCCAAACTGCCTTAGAAAATTTTTGAATTTTTAAATGCTTCTTTTACAACTATATTTTAAAACTTCTGGGTGGTTTTAGTGGTACTTATTTCAATGGTGCTTTTATCAACAAGTAGATTTAACTAGAACTAAGTGGAATTATATATACTAAAGATAAAAATCTGAATAAGCTTTAGTTTAGAAAAATCTGCTTATTACTGTATCTAATATAGCTCTCTCAAATGTCAAAGTAATATTCTTGTATTATGTCTGCTAATACTTGTCTAGCATCATAATTAAAAAAAGACTGATGAACTGCCATTAAATTAAAATTGTGTTATACTTTTTCTTTTCTTTTTCTGAAGAAAGACCATTGCTTTTGCCAAACAAGAGAAACAATCACGTAATTTGATTGACTGCCACATATTAACCATGCTGAGCACTGGAACTGTGTAACATTCAATAACTATTAGATCAACAAAATGTAACAATGTAACTTCTGTAAAGGTGTGATTAATCTGAATAAGAATGGAAGGGTAAGATCCATATTTTAGACACAACATGGATTTCTGAAGTTGCTGCTTACAAAAACTGTTACAGTCTTTTTGACATTGTTTGCCTGTTCCCAATGTCCCTGATTTCAACCTAGCACAATAACTGAGTAGGAGAGGGATTATCATCTTGGCAGGAAAAAACATACTCTATTAGGACCACACAGGGAAAATTTCAGATTATCTAAAGCAATCAGATTTCCATAGAAATGGCTGTGGGAGTATTGGATTGCTACTTTAAAGGGCATGCAAAGAGTTGGGGGTTGGGGGGGGTGGGGGAGGGCTGTATGCAGATTTATAACCCTTAAGAAACAAACTGTGAGGTAGTTGCAGTGATACTAATTGACAAAGAAAGGAAATTAATAAGTGAATATGTCAGGCAAAAGTTCTTCTTTCTCTATAATTTTCAGTTTCCAAAAGCTAGGCTCAATGGGGTGGAAATTGATGGAAGTCTTTACACAGTGGAGCATTCTGCATCTTGTAATAGTGGCTGTTGAAATGCATCTGCTGGGATTTTCTTAGGTCCTTTGCTGCCACATTCTCCCTGTCCAAAACCAAAGTCTATTTCTTGCCTATATCCTAATTTTGCTGGGAGATGAATTGTCACAACAGGGCTCTTGCCAGTAGAATCTTTCAGCCCAGGGATGAACTTGCAGTGTGTTCTGTTGATGTGACTTAACAGATCTATTCAGAGGCCCAGACCTCATCTAGATGAAAGCCTGGCAATGCATGCTGTCCATTCCCACTTCATGTATAATTATGGGAGTATAACATTGTGGTTCAGTCCAGCAAAGCCACTTGCTTCTCAGACAAATCCTCTCAGTTCCATATGCTTCCTATGTCTATGTTCTTCCGTGGTGTTTGAAACAGGATTCTCTTTTTCCAAGATACTTCCTTTGCTTTGCAGCAGCTTTGAACGAGATGGGTGGGAGTTATGTTTCAGTCACTTTAAAACTGCCAAGGGGACGATATATGCAGTGAGGTCTCCTGGTGTGACATGGAGGCTGCATGAGCATGGTAGCATTGAGTGAAGGGAGGGCCATTCCGCTCCACATGGGGTTAATTTGACTAACAGCAATAATACTTAATACTACTTAATAATATATATCTGTCTCCCTTAATTTAACGGTGACATATTTAACAATGAATCTAAAAGGCAGAGAAAAACTTGGTTTGGGATGTGAAAAAAAAAATCGCATCCACATTTCCATACTAGTGACTCCAGCAATCATTTGTGGTTTCTGTGTGTGTTGCTAAATGCCATGTATATGCTCTGGAAGCTATCAAAACTTCCAGCTGCTGCTTCCAGGCATATGCACTGAAATGTTGCTTGGTAGTAGGCAAGTCATTTAAATTTTGCACTGCTGTTAATCTGCTTTAGTGATCCTTGGGATTGAAATTATCTTTTGCTAAGTGCATGCTCTTTGCCTTGTAAAAGGTGTTGAGTCCCAGTTAGATTGCTGGATGATGGCTAAAAAGCTATATATTACTGGGAAGTATCCACTTGGAGATTAAGGTAGTATTGTAGTCTGGTCCAGTGGAACTGATGGAAGTTGTTGAATGCAATGAAAACATTGCTCCTCATCCTCTGTGCCTGATTTTTGTTTTTAAATGTAGCACATTTTGATCATGGTATATTATTGAGCACTCCAGTGTTGCCATTGCAGTCTTGAACTTCACTTCATAAGAGTGTCAAAGAGAGCCTCAGCTTCTCCTAGAACTTTGCCCTGTTAAGAGATGTGGTAATTCTGTGGTCTTTTGGATTGTAATGTTAGGTTTGGGAATAAAGAAAGTGTGTTTGTATTCCAATGGGTTTATTCTATATGGTTTTTATTACAGTGTTTTGGGAAGTTTTTGTGCTCAACTGACAATGAAACTTATCAATTACTGTTATGGAAGAACCACAAGAACTGTATTCATTCACATTTGGCTTAGGTACATGTTAGTTTTGCCCAGACCACTAAACCTGCCAAAGCCCAAATTATGAGTGCTGGTAAAGACTGTCCTGGTGAGGAGAAAAAAAGCTATTTGTGCAGAAAGCCCAGAGTTTTGTCTGCAGTCAGTATAATAGAATATTGTAATGTGTTTTATTGTACTTTATTTCTGATATGTTGACAGGTATTAGTTTCTCTGATTTTCATCAGCAAAGGCAATTTAATTGGTTATTCTTGCTGCATCTAAAAGGCACATGGGGAAATTATGCTTCCTTTCCTTAAAGAGTGGCATGATGACTTGGCTGCCATTTATATTCTGCTGCTTGTGTGTTTCCAGTCCCAAATGACTACAGACTGCTTTCAGTGATTGCTGCTGGGAATGGGTTTCAGGGAGGAGTTCCCAGGACTGGATTTACACTAAATAAACAGAGGCCAGAGGGGAAAACTGTGTTTCATTAAGAACTCTGGTTTAGGTTAAAGGGATAAAAATAGCTGCAGGACATCTCAAATTAGTTTAAAAACTAGAAAAGTGAAGGAACCCAATCTAGATTATTTATTTTAAGTGCCCACTTGTCTTTTTGGAGTTCTCTGCCTCACTGTCTTCTGCTCAGTGTACCTAGCTCTATAATCCAAAGGGATAGGTGAAAAGATTCAGCTGTCAAAGTTTCAGATTCCATAAACACAGATTTTTTAGTCAGTGCTGTCAGTATTCACGTGTTCGTCTTCTTTGTTTTGCCAAAATATATTCCTGAAAGTTTTCATTTTCTATTCTGGTTTTAGGCAAGATGCAAGAAATGGAAGTAAAGTACCAGAAAACTTTCTGTGTATTGGAGAGAAAGTTACTGCATCTTCCATTAAAATTGCTTTAGTTATTCATAAAATATGTTCCATAATAGACTAGTGTAGATGTGTGTTGTCTGCTTTGTGTAAAGAAAACAAGAATTACTTGCCTTCTGCTCTTACCAGTTTCGGACATGCATTTTTCAGTCTTGCTCATTGGCAGAATTACAGTGACTCCACTTTCTGCAAATACTCTGTATTAAGAAGATATCCTTTATGTTTAACATTGCAGATCCAGAATGCTAATGATGTGCTAATAGCACCGCTGGAGAAGTTTCGAAAAGAGCAAATAGGAGCAGCAAAAGTAAGTGGCTGGGGTTGTTTTTCATTTCATGTTTATTTGAGTTTATCAGTGTGTTTTGAAGGCTGGACTGGAAACAAGCATTTTGTATTCAAACAGACTTGATACCGTCCTCATTAATATGTTAATAAATTATACTGAATACTTTGCTGCAGAGGAGGTGACAATTTAGAAATGGAGCTTAAAGACTGATAATATGCATAGAAGACAGCTCTTGCTACTGTTGCACATTCCTACATCTGGCATTGTGTTCATCTTCTGATGTCTGCATTTACATTATGCTGCATCTTGGGTTAACCCAGACCCACAGAGAGGATTCAAACAGCTGCTATGAGTCCCTCAAGCAGACATTGTATAAAGACAGAAGACAGTTTCAGCATAATCTCTGCCTCTGCTTTCCCTTTCCTCTTTACATGGCTGATGCAGTGCAATGGTTCATGTTTATTTTGACAGAGTATTCATCTTAATATTCTTCAGGGATTTTCCCATGGTGGAAGTGCTCCAGTTAGTAATTTTATCTGGTTCTTTGGTGTTAAGTGTTATATCTGTGTGAGAGAGACAATGGAGTTCACTAGTCAGCTCAGGAAATCAGATAGATTGGGGAGAAGTATGTTGGAATTAACTGTTAGTCTAGAAGAGCTGTTTTCAGTCTGATCTTGAGTTTTTGAGTGGCTGTCAGTGTCTGCTTTCATTACAGTCTCTGGGCTATGCATGGAGGCTGTGGTAGTCAATTAGGGGTTATGGTTCTTCTGTCTGCACAAATACACTAGTTCTGAAGCATTTTGCCTCTTATATTAATGCTCATAAAAATTTCTGGGAAACGTTCCATTTGTAAGGTTAAATGAGTACAAAAAAAAAGCTCTCTGATGTTGCAGGTGAGGTTGTGCTTGTGCTGTACTCAGAGAAACTCAGAAGAAGAATAGAGCTATTGGAAAGAGACACCAAAGGTTTATACTTCTTGTACTGCTATTGTGAATGTGTAGCAAACACATGGGGCTGCTTCCGCAAAGGAACTAAGTAGATGTTTGTGAAGAATGTGTACTGTGAACTTGAGGTCAGATTTCTCTGAAGTGGGTGTTCTTTACCCTTTCACTTGATATGCTTTTGTGTACAACTACATTCTTCTCTTGTCCCACCCCTATGCTGCTGTGAGATGCAGGACTGGGAGTTTATTTACCATGCTGCTGCATGAATCAGAATTTATTCCCATCACAAAATTATTTTTAGTTTTCAGTAGGTTTTACTAGTGTCATCCAGTTCTTTGTACTGTTTCATTTTGTATTCTCATAGTTTAAGGGATTTTATTCTTCAGAGCACCATATTTGAAAGCTCAACCCATCATACTGCTGACTGTCTTGCTGCATGACAGAGACAATCCATAGCTGGTTCATAGGACTCTCTGCAGAGCTCTCTACGACACTCAGGTTTCCTTTGAATAAATATATCACTCAGTAGATGTCAACACATGCAGAATGATATAATTGAAGATGACTCCTTTGGTTTTTGTATCATCAAGAATATTAAAGGCAGGGCACTACAGGACAGGTTGAGTCCTCTCTGATATATCACAATGGCTGGCTTCTTTTCCATATCTCTTCCATGTAAAATATGGGCATCTGCTCCTCTTAGAGTTGTTTTGACTTGTCTGTGGTCATACTACACTGTAAAGAATGAGTTCAGGAGGGAGCCTGGCTCAGGTAACTCTTATTCCAGTGTCTAATGCACTTTATTAGACAGTGCTGTGTGTTTTGGAAAGTCCAGGATACTTGGCTTGATGCATGGATACCCTAAAGAGAGTTCTCCCAGGTCATTGTTTTATAAAATGTCAAACAAACATATTTTCTAGCACTGCATATGGAGCTCAACTGCCAAACTCAGAAATGAGAGATTCAGAAAGCCGTCATAGCCAAGTGTGATACATTTGCCTTTGACTTGATTTTTATCAGTGGAAGCAATTACAGTTAGCCTTTAACTAAATGGTATCAACATAAACAAGTCAGAGCTTAATTACATTCACTATTGTTTTTCTAGTAATTACAAAATAGCAATGTATGATCTAGGAATAATGAGACCCATATGAAGTAGAGTAGAAATTTGGGATTTATGAAACCCATTATTGGTAAAGTGGAAACCATGGTCAGATTGTTTACCCCTACTTCTGTTCACTGGGATCAGCCCTTGAGCATTTATGAGCTCTTATAAATATAGAATGAGTTGAGCTTGCTGGTTATGTATCTGCAGTTAATGAAGGTTTGCACAGAGATTTGGCTCTTTGAACTCCTCTGGGATGATCTGTGCTGATAGTCAAACAGAAGATATAGATGTTTTCTTGGTTTTTTTTTAGCAGCAAGTTTCACAGAAGACTGAGAATGTCACTTTTTATTTGTGGTGTCTTCTAGACACATCGGTTGAGCGGACCATACCAGGTTCACAGCAGGTGTGAGCTGTTTTTTTTCCTGTAGCCGTGTATAGAACAATATTCATATCAAACCCAAACTTGCTTCTGTTTCTCTGTCATCCCTCTCCTGCCCAAACCCCCAAAACATTTCTGTGTACATGTTGCTCCCTGAAGAGAAACCGGAGATATCCCAGCTGACTGGAAGCTGGTGAAAGTTGTCCCAGTTTTCAAGAAGTGCAAGAAAGAGGACCCTAGAAAACATAGGCCTGGTAGTGTGACTTCAGTGCCTGGTACAGTTATAGAGAAGATTATTCTGGGAGGTATTGAAAAACACCTGAAAGATAATGCAGTCATTAGTGACAGCCAGCATGGCTTCATGAGGGGAAAGTCCTGCTTGTCACACTCTTTTTCCTTTATTGACAAGCTAACCTGCCTAGCTGATCAAGAGAAGCCAGCTGATATAATCTTTCCATGCTGTCACAGTATCCTTCTGGACAAAATGTTCAGCATTCAGCTACATAAACACATAATGCCGTGAGTGAGAATTGGCTCACAAGTCAGGCATAAAGGGTTTAATGAGTGGGGTCGCATCATACTAGTGACCTGTCACTAATGGTGTTCCACAGGGTTCCATCCTCTGCCCTGTGCTCTTCAACATCTTCATAAATTACTTGGACACAGGACTGGAAGGGATACTGAGCAAGTTTGCAGGTGATGCAAAACTGGGAGCAGCTGGTGACTCTCTCAAAGAGAGGGAGACCCTGCAAAGAGGCCTTGACAGATTAGAGGACTGTGCAGTCACCAATCACATGAAATTCAACAAGTGCTCTGCACTAGGGTGGCATCATCTCCAGTGCTGGGGACAGTTCTGGGTGCCACAATATTAGGCACGAAGCTATTAGAAAGTGTCCATAGGAGGGCTATGAAGGTGGTGAAGGGTCTGGAGAGGAAGCTATCCAAGGGGACACTGAGATAACTTTCTCTGTTCAGCCTGGAGAAGAGGAAACTGGCGCAGGGCAGTGGTCACAGCACCAGCCTGACAGAGTTCAAGAAGCATTGGACAGCATTCTCGGGCACATGGTGTGACTCTTGAGGATGGTCTTGCGCAGGGCCAGGCGTTGGACTTGATACTTTTGGGTGCCTTCCAGCATAGCATATTCTATGATTTTGTGATTATGTTTGTGGTGCAAACTCCGCATGATAGCTGATAGTAATGTAACATTTCTAGAGCTGTCACTTCACAATTAATTAGCATCATAATATCTTATGGACAAACATTTAAAGAGATTGGGTATAGAAGCAGGAGATTGGTATGCCTTTAGCATTGGCCATTTCAGCAGCTAACTAGAGATCCAAGCAGTTGGGTGTTGGACTCTGTCTTCTAATTGGACTTTGACATTATAAATTTTAGTACCCTGTTAACTTGTGCTTCCAAATTTTGTGGAAGAAAAATATTATTAGATAGTTGTGTTACCAATACACAAACCAGGAAATTGTATTAGGGACTACTCTCAGATTTTGCTGGGGGTGAAAATTATGTGAGAGAGTACTTAAAAGTGATTTCTGGGATTTTTTTCTTTCTAAAACACCAGATAAAATTCAGTTGCAGATAAATACAAGCAAAGCCCCCCCTTCCAAGGTGATTATGAGAATCACCATTTTATTTTAGTCATAAATACTTTCACAAGATGTTTTGCTACCGTGATGAATAGCCTATAGATGTTTTTAATATAGAGAATGAGAATTTTTTTTTTCAAAACTATAATGAGTTTAGGCAAAAATATGGTCACAGAAATCAAAAAGAATATGGAGGATAAAATACATCCTGTTAATGTTACAAAGCTATATTTTAAGTACAAGGACAGTATAAACTCAGAGTACAAAGTTCAAGTGTTTTTGGACTATCACAAGAATAACATTAAAGACCAATCCTTCTCATGCACTTCAAAAACCTGAAGGTACCCAACAAATTTAAGAAACATTCTCCATGAAACATTAGTGTTTGTAATCTAACCAGCAATATACAAATCTACATCACTTGCTCTTCTTAATTTATACTACTTGCTCTTCTGTTTTTATTGCACATATTTCAGTTATTCCTTTTCTGTACACACTCAGTTTAAATAAAGTTGAGTTCTCTCCAGAGACTACACAAACCCAGCTTTGCATTGGACAGCCTGTTGATTTACTCCATCTGAGTTTAAAAAAATGACCTCTCCAATTATTGTAGGAAGGCGAGCAGAAGCCGGGTGAGGTAACTGGGAAAGGATTCCAGGCACGAAGCCTTTTGCCTTATTTGGTCAATGTGGTTTGCAAGGCCCCAGCTGGTAACTCTGGTGAGCTCATTGTGTGATGTGTTATGGACAATAAAGCCAAACCTTCCTCTTTCTTTTTATCCATTGAGTACAGTATTTACCAATATTTCTTCCAATGTTCATTGACCTTTAATACAACTTAAATCAGATCAAGGACAACAGAAGCAATTTTGGTTTTAAGACTTAAAAGGAGAGTTTTTTTTTCTTCCTTACAATTCCATCTGTTTGTTTAATAAAATAATTGATTATGGCCAGGAGGGTTAGTTTTTATCATTATTTAATTTCATCAA